GGAGGAGGAGGAGGAGGAGGAGAAGGAGAGGAGGAGAAGAGGAAAGGAACGCGGGGACCGTCTCTTCAAAACGAGGGCCCAACACCACAGGATGGTTGGGGAATTTTTGCAGCAAGGCTCCCAAGAGCGAGCGGCAACGTTAAAGTCTCTGATCACCAGGGCTCCCAACAGAGGGCGGTGACGCAACAAACTCTTAACGCCAAGGCTCCCGAGAGCGAAAGGTGCCATGAGCCATCTCGGGCAAATGCCTGCAGCGCTCTTTCCGTTCCCGTGCCGGCCCAGGTAACGGAACGAGCGAGGTACGAGTGATGACGTTCTTGTGTGGGGCGAAGCCCTCTAGGGGGTGCAGGGGGGGGGGGGGGGGCGAGGCCCAGAAGCACCGGATCTAATGGCCAGGCCTCCCCCCCAGACGGCCCGAGAGGCGCCCAAGACGACCCAAGAGGCCCCCAAGAGGCGTGCAAGAGGGCTCGAAGTCGGCCCAACGCGTCCCAAGAAAGCCCGAGACCGCCCAAGAGCGTTCCAAGATGGCTTCAGATGGCTTCCAGACGGTACAGGAAGGCCTCGAGACTGCTCCAGAGGCCCTCAAGAGAGCCCCCGAGAGGGCCTGAGGAGGCCAAAAACACTGATCGCCCTCGGATTCTTCAAGGTCTTTCGGGTTCTCGCCTTTTCGGGCCAAGAACGGCCCCAGACAGCCAGAGAAGCCCCAAAGCTCGGCCCAAGACGGCCCCAGAGTCCCACCAAAGGGGCCGAACACGGTCCAGGAGGGCCCAAGACGGCCCAAGAGCACAGACCAGAGGCCCCAAAGGCGGCCCCAAAGGGTCAAAAATGACTGCCCAAGAGGGCCCCAACACATCCCAAAAGGGACCCACAGAGGGCACCCAAGAAGCCCCAGAGACGCCAAGTAGCATGCACAGAAAGAGCGAGGTGCGAGTGATGACGTCTTTGTGGGGCGAAGCCCTCCAGGGAAGGGTACACGGTAGGGGCGAAGGGGTGGCGAGCAGGTCTAAGGATGGCCAGCTTCCTTCGTATGTTTCAAACGAAGCGGCTCCCAGGCCGCTTCAATGCCTCGATTGTTTATCTTTTTTCGAATGGCGCCAGACGGTCCAAGAGAGCCTCCAGACGGTTCCAGAGGCCCCCGAGAGGGCTTGAGGAGGCCAAGAACATAGATTTTACGGCGGTTGTTTTTGTAAGGTTTCTGGAGTTCTCGCTTTTTCGGGCCCAGAATAGCCCAAGACGGCCCAAGAGGCCCCAAAGATCGTCGAAGACGTCCCCAGAGGCTTCCCAAATGGGACGACAACTATCCAACAGGGCCCCCAGACGGCCCAAGAGAGTCCCAAAATTGCCCAAGAGGGCCCCAAGACGGCCCCAACAGAGCCCACAAAGGGCCCCAAGAGGCCACCAAGGGGGCCCGAAGAGGCGGTATGGTGATTGGGCTGCTTTGGTGTGGGGACTGGGCTGGCCCCAAGATGGCCCACGAGGGCCCCAAGACGGCCCACGAGGGCCCCAAGACGGCCCCAAGAGAGCAAGAGGGCCTCAAGTGAGCCCCACGAGGGTCCGAAGAGGCGGTGTGGGGACTGGGCTGCTTGAGTGTGGGGACTGGGCTGGCCCCAAGGCGGTCCAAGAGGGCCAAAAGAGGCCCAACAGGGTCCCCAAAAGACTCCCAAGAAGCCCCAGACGCGCCAGGGAGCACCATGGCTCCCAACAGCGAGCGGTGACGTAAACACCGAGGCGCCCTAGAGCGCGGTGGCGTAAAACATTTTAACAGCAAGGCTCCCAAGGGCGAGCGGCAACGTAAGAGTCTGTGAACACCAGGGCTCCCAACAGAGAGCGGTGACGCAACAAGCTCTTAATGCCAAGGCTCCCAAGAGCGAAGGGTGCCATGAGCCATCTCGGGCAAATTCCTGCAGCGCTCTTTCCGTTCCCGTGCGGGCCCAGGTGAGGGAAAGAGCGAGGTACGAGCGAACGAAGTTAAATTGGGGCGAAGTCCTCTGAGGAGGGGTCCAGGGGAGGGGCGAGGCGCGGGGGGATGGTTGTAATGGCCGCGCGGGGGCCGATTTCTTCATATTTGTTCCAGCGAAGCGGATCCCAGGCGGCTCCCATGGCACGTTTCCTCGAATTTTTCGAATGAAGCGGCCAGAAGGCCCCAACACGGCCCAAGAGGGCTCCAGAACGGCCCCAAGACGGCCCCAAGAGAGCTTCAGATGGCCTCCAGACGGTCCAAGAGAGCCTCGAGATGGCTCCAGAGGCCTTCAAGAGGGCCACCGAGAGGGCTAGAGGAGGCCAAATGCAGTGATTGTCCATCGGTTTTTGCAGGTGCTTCGGGCTCTCCATTTTTTCAAGCCTAGAAAGGCCCCAATGACCGTCCCAAGACGGCCCCAGAGGCGCCCCAAAGGGGCCGGAAAGTGTCCAAGAGGGCCGCTTAGCGCAGGGTGCTGTTCTGTCACAGCGCGCATGGCGCTGTTCTGCAATGAGAACCTATCGCGATGCGCTGTTACTACCACGAAACATGTCTCCACTTTCCCCTCATCATTATGTTCCCACGCCCCCTCGTGGTCGCCTTCCTGCCAAAGATCTGACTCTTAAGAGTGGCGCCGCGAATGTGGAAGATTTGACTCTGGCCCAACGTTTTTGGCGAAGCGTTCAAGAGCATGGCGGATCCTTCAGTGCTTGCTTTTGTATTGAACGGTCCGATGTATAGTCGCCTTATGTGTACGAAGGGTTGGGTACGTCCCCGGGTAGTTGTATGTCGTGCCGACGCTTTAACACCAACAGGGTTCCAAGACACTAAGCCAGCGACCTCGCGCCCTCACAAAATAAACGCGCTGTCCGCCCCCATGCCGAGCAGGTATGGTGGCCTTCGGCCCATCCCGCCACTCTGTCTGGGCTGTGGAGTAAAAGCCTCTTGGATGTTTGTTTGGGTATCGTGAGAGGCCTCGAGGGTGCCTCTTGGAGGCAGTTGCGACGCCTCTTGGAGGCCGTTTGGGTGCCTCTTGGGGCTTCTTTTTGAGCCTCTTGGGGGCCCCGTGGGGCCTCGTTGTAGGTGTTCTCTTGGGGGCCTCTTGGGGCCTCCTGGGGGTCTCTTCTGGCGGAAAGCTCGAATTGTCGGTTCATGTTCCCCCTCTTGGGCCCCTCTTGGGGCCCTCTTGGGCGATCTTGGGCGCCTCTTGGGCCGTCTTGGGCTCTGGGGTTCTCTTGGACCGTCGTGGAGCCCTCTTGGGGACCTCTTGGGGCGGTCTTTGGGGCCTCAAGGGTCAAGTCATCATGGAGCGCCAGAAGCCCGAAAACGCGAGACTGCGAACCACATAGAAAAAACACACAGGGGCATCCATGATGTTTGCTCCGTCGGGCCCTCTGGGTGGTCCTCTTGGAGCGCTTTGGGGGCTTCTTTGGGGCCTCTTGGGCCGTCTTGGGGCCATCATGGGCGTCTTGGAGCGCTCTTGGGCTGTCCTGGCAGCCTCTTGGGCCCTCTTTGGCGCGTTCTGGTGCCCTCCCGGCACGTCTTGGGGCCCCGTGGTTTTTGAACAAGTCACGCGAGGCAGCCCAGGAGCGCGCGGAAGCGCCCAGGACAGTTGAGAATTTGGGGCCCCAACCTTTAAGATGCTAGAGTCCACCAGGCCTGGGTGCAGAGAACCGAGAACACAGAAGAGCCTGGGGATAATTCCTTCTCGTGCCTCGAGGCACGGAGGCGGATATGTGAAAAAATCGGCGAACGAAGGTATAGTGTATCTAAAGCGTTCTCATATCGTACGCCTACAATTCTCATCTAGTATTGCAAATCAGCTATTCGCTTATGCAAGCCATAAGTTTCTCGTTGCCCATGGAACACCTCAGGAATCCTTAGGGTGCCCTAAACATCCTGAAGGATCCTTCGGGCTGTCGGTGCTTTCCTGGGAACCCTTTGGGAACCCCAGAAATGCAGAGGGTTCTTTAGGACTCCATCGGGAATCCTGCGGGATCTTTGTGCAGTTGTTTAAGGATCATCAGGAGGTCGTAATAATTCCCACATCGGAATATGGTATCACAGACCACGTGTTGCCCTAGTATTGGTAGTAGTAGAAGAAGAAGTAGTAGTAGTAGAAGAAGTAGAATAAGAAGAAGTCGTAATAGTCGTAGTAGTAACATAAGTAGTAACACTAGCAGTATTAGTGGTAGTAGTAATAGTAGTAGTAGTATTTGCAGTAGTAGCCGTAGTAGTAGTAGTAGTAGTAGTAGTAGTAGTAGTAGTAGTAGTAGTAGTAGTAGTTGTTGTAGTTGTAGTAGTAGTAGTAGTAGTAGTAGTCGTCGTCGTCGTAGTCGTAGTCGTAATAGTAGTAGTAGAAGTAGCAGTAGTAGCAGTAGTAGTAGTAGTAGTAGTAGTAGTAGTAGTAGTAGCAGTAGCGGTAGTAGTAGTCGTAGTAGTAGTCGTAGTAGTAGCAGCAGTAGTAGTAGTAGTAGTAGTCGTCGTCGTAGTTGTAGTGGTAGTAGTCGTAGTAGTAGTAGTAGTAGTAGTAGTAGTAGTAGTGGTAGTAGTAGTAGTAGTAGTAGTAGTAGTAGTAGTAGTAGTAGTCGTAGTAGTAGTAGTAGTAGTAGTAGTAGTAGTAGTAGTAGTAGTAGTCGTGGCCGTCGTAGTAGTAGTAGTAGTAGTTGTAGTGGTAGTGGTAGTAGTAGTAGTAGTAGTAGTCGCCGTCGTCGTCGCCGTCGTAGTCCTAGTACTTGTAGTTGTCGTCATCGTCGTAGTAGTAGTAGTAGTAGTCGTAGTAGTAGTAGTAGTAGTAGTAGCAGTAGTAGTAGTAGTGGTAGTAGTAGTAGTAGTAGTCGTCGTCGTCGTCGTAGTAGTAGTAGTAGTAGTAGTAGTAGTAGTAGTAGTATTAGTAGTTGCAGCAGTAGTAGTAGTAGTAGTAGTAGTAGTAGTAGTAGTAGTAGTAGTAGCAGTAGTAGTAGTAGTAGTAGTAGTAGTAATAATAGTAGTAGTAGTAGTAGCAGTCGTAGTTCTGTTGTTGTAGTAGTAGTCGTCGGCACTAGCTTGGCTCAATGGGCAGTATTCAATTTCTCCGCGTGCCCCTTCGGCGTGCGCCATGGAATGGCAACCGGACCCTCACGCCGACGGCACAGCAGCATTGCAGAGCGCAGAATCTGGCCAGGGCCCACCAGCGGGCGAGGTCGGATCTGCCGGGCGAGACGTTGAAGACCTCGCATCATCGCGGGACTCGGTGCCTTCAGGTTCTCACGACAAGCCAGAGGAGGTGCACGAGGCCACGCGCCAGGCTGTGCAGGCAGACTCGCAGGGCAACGACCTGGAGCTGGCCGAGATTCCCAGCACGAGCACCACCTTCAGCGAGCTGATCACGCAGCAGTACCGCAAGCGCGAGGACAGTTTCCTTCGCGGACTCGTGCTCCAGGATACTTCGGCGGCCCTGCCTCGAGAGTCTGGGCAGTCGCGTCGCCAGGGAGCAGCGGCGCGGTGCGACGCCGTTTTGGCTGCTGCCAGGAAGCTTCCGATGCACTGCGCCGCTGAGGTGCGGCACTGCCTCGTGCCCATGCTTTGCATGTTGATACCTACGGTATCGAAGCGATTCACTCTCCAAATCCAGCTCGATCTTAGCAGAGACTACAGTGGCTTAATGGACGACGTCGCTTTCGCAGACACCAACTCGCTTACTGGTCTCTGCCTCAGATGGATGGAGTCTTCGATCATTCAGATCGGGGTTTGGGGAACTGTAGTGACTTGGCTGTGCACTTTGTGGTCTGCCAGAGTGATGAGGTCACTTCTCATACGATGCGGTTTGCCCGCCTTTGGGTGCTGCATTATCCTATCTGGCATCTAAACTGTTCCGATGCATTACTTTCATGTCTCCGTGGTCGTGAAGAAGGTCTGCCAAGCCACGTTTATCGTACTTGCCGCGGTCGGTTTAGCCTTCTTGGTCGCACGGGGTGGCCAACTCACTTTCAACCCTGCGTTCAAGTTCATTGGGGTGGTACTCTTTGCTTTGGTCTTGACGGCTTCAGTCATGAGCAACGCAGTGGTTGGTATCGCAGTTGGGCCAGATTGGATGAAGGCTCTCTTCGTTGGCTTCGTCAATCCCGTGGTTTGGGAAATCGTTTTCATAACGCCTGCCCGTTTTCTCGCAAGAACACTCTGGCACAATGACGCATCAACTTCTTTTATCATCGTGCCCTTGTTCGTCTTCGGTAAGCAATACATGGGGCGGTCAATTGCTGCCCTCGTTGACAGTCCAAGCGTGCTGGTCGTTCTTTCTGCCCTGAATTGCATTTGGGAGGTGCTTCTGCGAGTGTCGCTGCGCTGCCGGGATAGATGCTTGTATCAGTGGGTATTCTCCAGCCAATTGCCACCTGGGAAAGACGCTGCAGCCATGCTCTCGTACGACAGGAACAGGCGGATGAGGGCACTCAACTCCATGTCTGAATCGATCGGCGAGATTGTCGCGACATGGAATGGCGTTGCCATGATCATATTGCTTGATGTATCTGTGGACGGGGAGTCTCCGATGAATCCATGGAAGGCCGTGCAGGCAGGATTCGTGCAGAGCGCGTTCGAGCTTCTGACTGATGTGGTCTCCGTGCTGCTGCTTTCCTATTTCGGCATACACATACTGGATCTTGCTGGCAGACGCTACTGGTACTGGTCCGCCGCGCTGGCCTGTCCTGTCTTGGCCATGTCCTCCTTTGGTCTCAGGGCACTGTTCAGCAAGGCGCTGTGCCACGATCCTGGGTTCCGTGAAGCTACTTTCGTCGTGTGTCGGAGGCTGTAAGGGGGCGCGGTCCCGAGACGTTTGTGTTGCGCACAGGGTTGACCTGCATTACCCCGTCCAGCATTTCAGACCCCCCCTTCCGGCAAAAGGATCACTCTCGCCAGCCTCGAGCTTATCCCTATCCCCAAGATTGACACGCCCAGAGGCGATGACCATCTCAGGGATGCGCCCTGAAAAACGAAGGGAATCCCTAAGATCGGCATCGTTGCGAGGCGATGCCCAGCTTAGGGATAGGGATATGTTCCAGGCTGGTAACACGCTTCCCGCACCGGGAAGCGTCATTCTCAGAGCGTGGATTACCTACCCCGCGTTCGCTTCCAGGCAAAACCAAGCCATACCACGCGCCTCCTCGTCAAGCGGCCTGACCAGTACAGGCTGCAATTTGGCATCGCTTGGTATCTCTTGGAAGCGAGGGTGGTCAAAAGCGAGGTAGGTTTGTTTGCCCCCTATTAGCGCCGCACACACACACACTCGCTTCAAACACTTGCAAGAACTTCACGGACGGAGGGCCGTTTGTTTCCAACATGTAGCTCTCGCCCCAGCGCCGCGCACGTTCGTTTCGAAAAGGTGTAAGCGTTTCACAGATTGGGGGCGGCTCGTTTTCCAAATGTGGCTTTCGCCTTAGCGCCGAGCGCATTCGCTTTAAACACGTTGCAAGAGTTTCGCGGATGGAAGGCGAGCCGCTGCCAAAGTGTTGTTCTTGCCTTGCCGCCGCGCGCATTCGTTTCAAAACCTGTCAAGAGCTTCGCGG